TCCAGAACAAGACGAATAAATCGAAAATATTCCATATCAATCTAGGTAAGTTGATCGCATAAATACTGAGACATGAAATTGTTGTACTGACCGTAAAATTGAGTTAGAATGAGTTGCTGTAGGGATCGTAGCAAAACAATAACATACATAGTCAAGTGGTGTCAATGTATTCTTAACATCACATACCGAATCCTATCAATTATTAGATAATCCAGGCTATCGTTGTATTAAGTATATCTGGCTAAAGATCATTTACATCGATCTATGCAACATAGGATGAACTAAATAACATATATCGTTAACATTTTCCGAACAGCTTGGGAAATACATCATTTGACTGAAACTGAAGTAAAAAAAAGTCTCTCACTTACCACCAACTAATCCGATTTAACACAAGTTAGCTTCATGTATGCGATGTAATGCAATCGAACATTCAACCTGAAAAAACGAGCAGAGGATGCAACTTTATGAGCTGAATTGCACATTTGGATAAAAATAATTCTTTGAAATAATCAAAACATTAGTAAGTTTGACGAATTTCAATAGTGTAATAAGACGAAGATTATCAGAACTATGTGATATATTGGCGCAATACATTTCCAACAATCTGATCACACGTAGTATACTTGCCAAGAATATTTACACATAAAAATAAAAGGTCAACTGGACTGGAAATGGTGTGTGAAAGGAGAAAAGGATAATAAAAATAGTAATAATGTCACAACACTTTGCAACCAAATCACCCTGGATAATAAGCTAATATTACCAGGGTAGGTTTAAGTTAAGAACAAACTGTTTTTGAATACACGAAGGAGGTTTGAACTTTCGTATGGCTAAGGCTTCAATAAACCTGAGTATACGCCCTCCTAAACTTTTGTACATCACAAAAGCCAAGCTAAGACCAGTCTTATGGCGTGTTTCGATTATATGTTTGGCAGTAGAGGATGATGGATGCTTACCCTCTACTCTTATTGGGTCATTTGATTCTACTTGTTTCTGCAACCATTTTGGTACATATTTACACACCCTAATGTCAGACCACGATTGCTCCTCCCTATGTATGTGTGACCACACACACATTCAAATTGATAAACGCAGTGGAATGTTACACAATTTCACATGTCTTTTCATGTCTTTTATGTTTGGATGAATCATGAACATCGTTTTTCCTTTGATAATGACCTTCGCTGAACAATACGATTTGTTGATGACCGATTTGAGCCTCTGTTTCAATAAAAGGTTATTTGAATTACCTCTAGATGGTTAGGTGTTTTGAGTGGGCTTTCTTAACCAAAGCTACATTAGGTCTCACTGTACCATGAACTTTCCATCTATTTATGCGTGTAAGTGGATAGCTACCCCCCATTAATTCCTTGTTTAACAAACTAACATCATCGTCATTAGCTTCATTTGTGCAAATACTGTCAAGCCTGTTAAATAGGCACCTTGTCAAGCCTTGTTTGTATTGCACAGGGCAATAACTATAATATCTAAGGTATTGGTTTGTCTATGTCGGTTTTCTAAAAATGGGTCGTCTGATTGAGCCATGTTCTCGTCTACTTGGAAGTATACCCAGGAATGAAAACTGTTCGTTTTTCTCCTCTTTACATGAGAGGTTGATGTTGTTTTGAATGGTGGTAAGTCTATTCAATAAATAGTTCATATCCTCCTTTCTTTCACCAACAACTAAGATATCGTCCACATATCTCTTACAAAGTGACATGTTTTCGATTAGGTCTTCAGCCAGATTTTCAACATGTTCCACAAACATATCACATGTGTCACATCCTGTAACACATCTCCCAACTGACTTCCCATTGCAAACCCATTGATCTGGCGAAAGTATTCACCTCCAAAAATGAACTGAACTTTTCAGTACAAAATAGTAGTAAATCTTAAAGAATTTTTAAAGGGACGTCAAATGAACACATTGTCTTTCCTTTGGTAATGATATCATTTAAACGATAGACCAATTGAAAAGAATCCTTCAGAGAGTTCTTATATAAACGTCCTCGAATAAATTCCAGCAATTGCTTTTAGCCATTTAGTTAGGTTATGTGTAGGTGGTCGGCACACTGATAAAATTGGGCGTAAAAAATGTTTGATTTGTGAATTTCAGGTGGTCCATATAAATGAGGATACTCAGGACCAATAGGTTTTGAGAAATTAAATTCCTCTCTTTCAATTATACTCATGTGTGGCAATTTTTCCAGGTTTGAATTTACTCGTCCCTCTAGTTTGTTATTACCTCCAAATTCAACATCAGATGCGAATTTACTTTCATCACTGAGAATGAATAACATCTTACTTTTATACTCACATTTGTTCATGATAACCACGTCTGATCCTTAATCAGGCTTCAACAAGACAATATCAGGGTTGGTTAGTAGTTTTATTGGTGAGTTAAAATGTCTTATTCAATTGCTGAGCAAACAGAACAGCGCACTATGTTCACATGACAACATGTGGCACGCCCCTGCTCTCAAACATGATATAAGGATTAAGTTATCGCGAGTGTGTTGTTCAAATGAAATGACATTTTTTCTTAATGAGAAAATACGAGTGTTTTGATTGTATTTAATGTACCGAAATTTCCGTTTTTCATTAATCCGATTAAGTCTTCAGTTAATGTATCGTAAAAACATTTTTTTTCATAGTGTCAAATTTTTTTCACTTTTAACTGCTCTCAAATGACTAGCATCAATAAAACGTATCGAGTGGTCTGCAAGTGGTTGATCAAACAGTTCCGCCGTGGCAATAGTTTGTCACGTGCTAACATACGATACCGTAGGCCTCTTCCTGGTATTCACTGTTTTTTAACATATTCGCAATTACTAAAATAGTGTTTCTTGAATCATTTGTTTCATCTTTTCCAGAGTTCAAAGCCCTTGTTCCTTCGATGTTCACTAGAGAAACTAAACTACTTGGGCAAAGCGTCATTGTGATAGACTTACATACTTCTTTCGGATAGAAAATGAAATGCAATATGGTAAATTCATTAAGTGCTATAATGCGCGAACCGCACTCCTAATGTACATAGGAGGTATTCCTAGCCACAGTCGTGTCAGCTATGCGGAATATCCACGATCTACGTGATCACTACGGATTCAGGAGAATTTTAAGTAGCTGAACAGAACTAGAAAGTTCTCCTAAGCTGAATAGCAACATGTAGATGGCATGGAAGAGTTAATCAGTACTATCACCGATATGATATCAGGTCTGAACAAAATCACCATGATAGACCCTCATAACGCAGTGAATGATAAGCATGCCGATTTAAGGGAGACTGTAAAAGAAAGAGACAAACTGGAGGAGAGGGAAACCATAAGTGGCTTTAGGTGTATGTTAACAGATTCATCCTCAGCACCCCAAATTAATGCAACTTAGACAATGTCCAAGCCCAATTTACACCGTGTAGAGAGCCTGACAAGGAAATAAAATCAAGTCAACAATGTGCTAAAGGCGGCTTCCAGAAAATCAATCACGCAAATAGAAGATGAATCCCTTGCATTGTGTTATAACTTGTGACCTTGTTCCGTAGTAACATATAACGCCATGATGTCACTGACTAGAGAACAGCGATTTATCGACCGGATTAGTGACTCGTAAACCCGAGCGAGCAGTCTGGAGTCCTTATCGGTCCTTCTTCCTGCCTAGGCCTGCCTGTTTAGTCCAGAACAACAATCTCCGGCTCTGCGATATGAATCATGTACTTCAAACAAACTGGGTTTACATACCAATAAAGCAGATTACATCGCAACTCAGGAACCGTAAATAGTGTAATAATAGTCTATGGGTTAAAATTAAGCTTGTAATGAGAGAAGCACGAATATGAATAGTTTAGTTACTTAACAATTATACAAGCAGAATATATGTATAGTATTAGACCCACCAACCAATGAGGCACTTTATTATGGACCGCCCAATATCTAGACGGAACAAGAATATAACGAACTCCATTGTCGTTAGTTTGAATATAGCAAAACTAAAGAAAACATGCTTCATTCTCCCCCACTATTTATTGATTATTAACCATGGCCTTCCGCTCCTAACCCTCATTTTCGGTTTCCGAATCTCTCTAATGGATAAATCCAAATTATTCTTCCTAAGTGTCATGTCCTTTTATTTTTCTTATTACAAGTAGACAGATAACTCACTAATCTTATGGATGCTGACCAACTAAGGCCGATCAAAAGAAGCTCAAATGTCCTAACTTCTTGTGAGTTGTTCAATGTTTTATTTTCCTTACCCTGAAAATTTTACAATATTCTCTTTCATATCCTCTGGTTTGCTATTAGTCCTTACCATCTCATAACCACATATAAACTTACTTGTCTCTTATAACCTTCACCATTAGTTATCTTCATAGTAGTACGATATATTAAATGGATAACTGACCTATAATACAAATGCTATTACCATCTGATTCACTTGTAACATGGAACTTGTAGAGACAGTGTATTCCAACTATGGTCCTTGATTAAAGCAATATTCATACTGACCACAAACGTAAGAGAGCCTAACATCATAAAAGGAGGGAGTGTGGCGTTACTGACCAGCAAACATGATGGTGGGGAGATAACTTCAATCCACATGTGTCTGTAGGGCAGAACATATTAATTACGGCTCCTTATATCTAGTGGAATGTCACGAACCAATGGTATTGATGCGAAATTATTCATGAAAAATACCACTTTAGATCATGTTAAAAAAAGCTAAATTGGTTCCACTTCCTACCGAGTAATCCTATTACAAGCAAACTAGACAATTGGCTAAAAACGAAGCCCACTCTATATCCTATAAAATCTAAAAACAAAAAAAGAGTTCAAACAGCTCCTAAAGTGAAGGGAGACAGCCATTTGTATCGGAATACTGTTTTCAACACTTTATTTTATAATTACACAATTCCATACTTTCTTCTGAACTACCTTCATTTATACAGTTCCTTACCCACTCATACCTCGCCCACACTTATTTTTCTTTAACACATTAGTATGTTCTTACCTAATAAATAATTCAGTAACAGACAAATAGACTAAATGGTTATACATTAACTATTCCTCCATGAATATTGTGTGCTCTGCTTTTCGTCCTTCCTTTTTTTACACCTTTTTCAGCCTCCTGCAGATACTCCAACGAAAACAGATATGGCACGGGTGACTTTGTCCTACACCGTTATTAAAACCTCAGATATTCCGGAGGGATAAAAGCCCCCAACATCGCATGTATCTATTCTCCACCATCAGTTGTATGTTGCAACGCTACCTCCATAAAGTGCGCCAAGTGTGATATTGATATGTTTCTTACGAAATCCATTTACATTCATATCTTATAAAATATCAACCCAGCTGAGTAATTTTCAACAGTGAAAATTGTAACTTCTTTAACAATTTGATCTTGCCTGTAAACCGACATGCCTCATGTAACAATCTGTTATTTGAGAATAAATTATTATTAGTATTATTATTATAAATGGATACCAACAGTTACCATTCAATATTCTCGTTGAGATACAAAACACTGTTTTCCAAACAGTACCAAGTGGAAGAAAACAGGTTAAGTGTGAGTAGCGAAATCTTAAAGTTTGGCAAGATAGGTCTCTCAAAGAGACAAGAAATTTTCACAAGTTAAAATAATACACCAAAACGGATTGGAGGGCTAGGTTTGAACACAATGAGCGCTGTTATGTTAATAATATGTAGCTTTTTTCCTAGGTTGTTACAAACTGTAGAAGCAGAATAAAACAGAAAGTGGATCAAGAAAGTCTTCAGATAACCATATTTCTAAAAATACTCTAGCTGTTACTGAGGAGTCAAATCCGCCAATAGAAAACTCACATAATCTGAGTCGGTTCGTAATAGATTTTTTGCATTGATATCACTCTCTATAGTTGTATTGACAGACAATCTGTAGGAGCGAAAATTAATGATCAGTGTGAAATACCCGTTAATTAGTGTTTTTCACAACATCAAAGTTCCGAGTAAAACGACCTTCAAATCACGTCGAAGTGCATTTTACAGAGCCAGAAGTCTGCTATGCGAACACTTGCAGCCAATCAAACAAATCGACGGAACTCTAAACTTAGTATATACAATAAACCATCATTTTATTGCCATGAGAAACGTGGCTTAAGTCAGAGATGTTACGGTGAAAATCCAATTGTTTGATTTCTTACATTATAGGATCGAAATAATAAACCATCGGCGAGGCGGCAACATCCTGTACTTGTAAGCCATCTTAGTCTGACGAACCTACCAGTCAGCGCAGGACAATTCAAGGATACTTAAATCGGTCCGGTTGGCGTGAAAAGAAAAAGACGTGGTACAACTTAGTCTTGAGTGTGTAGCAGATAAATCACCCCACAATAAACTTCAGTCCTGGTAAAGAAGGTGCGGGATATTCGTAGTTGGAGACTTTATTGTACTGTCTATAAACTGGACTAGCAAAGAAGAAGCCAAGACTGATTACTTAGGGACAGCTTTCGCGTATAATTGTCTTCTAGACAAAGAACTTGACCTAGAACTACTGTCATCAAACTGTGTATTGACTGTGGAATTCAACCAATACGATATTTCAAAGGCATCTAGCTTTCCAAACACAGTGAAATCAAAAGGATCCACTGGTTTACACCCTAATATCCTGAGAAGTATAACACTATACTCCTCTCACCACAACATTCAGGACATCTCTCAACCGACGTGGGTGACCTGTGAACTGGTAGAGTCCGACCCTTACTCCAACTCAAATACAGTATTGAGAGAACTTCCATTACCTGCCAGCCTTGCCAGCGTCGTACTTAAAATGCTGGCAAGAATGGATATCAGTATGAGGTTATAGAGATTGTTGAGGTTTTATTGAGACCGTAAACCGACCCATGTCAGACCACTGTTGAAAAGCTGAAAGCACTGGATAGACATTTCATCCTAGTATGGAGCCCTTCAACTGTGCGCACCGCTGTTCAAAAAGTGATCAAGACGTCCCGTAAAAGTGCAAAGGATAACTATCCATCAAATTCCAAAATCCCGAGGTTTACCAAGCAGCTTGAAAATTTAGACCCCATTATAACAAGGGGGTTTTTGTGGAGATTTAGTAATTTCATAGTTAAGATCATGAGTCAATTGAAGCTAGACCACCATGGAAAACCTGGAAGCACTGGACGGCCTTTTCGTCCTATTATGGGACTCCTCATCAGTGCGCATCCACGAACCCGCTCTTGCGCGATTCGAACCCAGGACCTACCAGTCTCGAGCCAGAGCCCTTAACCGATAGACCACTGAGCTGACATTGACTCATGATCTTAACTATAAAATTACTAAATCTCCACAAAAAACCCCTTGTGATAATGATCATATGCTCACTAATGACTGGCTCCTTGAGTTAATTCCTGGAGTCCTAGTGAGAAGTCGTGGCCAATGGAGCTAATCCATGTCAGGTAGAGACAGGTATCTACCTCACTACATTGGAAGTTGGTTGCGCAATTTCGTGGATTGGTTGAGGTTAGACATTAACACCGTTGGATGCCAGCTCAGTGGTCTATCGGTTAAGGGCTCTGGCTCGAGACTGGTAGGTCCTGGGTTCGAATCTCGCGAGAGTGGGTTCGTGGATGCGCACTGCTGAGGAGTCCCATAATAAGACGAAACGGCCGTCCAGTGCTTCCAGGTTTTCCACGGTGGTTTAGACCCCATGACTCTGTCTCATGGCATATTAAATCATGATCTGGTTTAAACTTAAAGAATATTATGAAACGATTTCATATATGATAAATCCTTCTCCTTATTACTAGATCAGACCACCTAAGAGGACATAGTATGCGGACTCAAAGTCAGTAACGTATAAATCTATGTGGTATACAGTTCTCCTCGCCCCTGGAACCTATTACTCGAGGCGGTAGTGTACGCACCTTTAACTGAGTATTTCAAGAGAAAGCTAGACACTCACAAATGCTTAAAGAAAAAAAACAGACAAAGGCTGACAGCCCTCTGTAACTAACAAGCAGGCATGAATGCAAATCTAATATAATGCAATGAAATCGCGCGCTATTAAAAAAGGACAGTGGTATTTTTCCTCGTTGAGTAAATTCTATTGTTTTGATCGTTATTAACGTATCAAGACTACTGTTTTTATACTTTAATTGAATTTCTTTCAGTTAAAGTATTCTATTAGAGTATCATTTTTGGTATCCTAAATAGTTTTATCGTCGGTACTCCAGAGTACCTTTTTTTCCATTGTGCCTGTTAGTACTTTGGTCCTAACTGTTTATAGTTTTTTTTCTACTTGTAGTCAACACTCACTTTCGCATCCTAAAATGACTGGAAGATGCAACAAAAGCATTTGCCACCGCCCAGGATGTCGATATCCTGTTGATAGCGGCATGCAGTGCGATGGGTGCAAAGGTTGGTACCACGATGTTTGCACGAATCCAACACCTGCAGCTTTCAAGCGGTTCAGTAAAAATGGGTGCGTATGGCTATGTCAACAGTGCTGTTTGGATGCAAATAGCCTGTTAACCGAGGCCATCTCAATGGTAAACGCCGCAAAAAAGTGTCTCGGCAAGCGCGGTCGGGATACATAAGTCAGAACTCAATCTGTCGACACGCAGATTGACACAAGGCACGCCCAAGTGAGTTCAAAAACTGCCGACCCACACTCTACAAAGGAGGAAGAACATCCTCCAAAGAGGTCTGTTACAACCAGAAACTCGCGCAAAAAAGTCTCTTCTGTCCCTCGTATCAAAAATGGTACCCAGAAGGGAACTTCCGGAAGCCGAAACCGCAAGGCTCGATCGGTTTCCAGCGCGAAAGATGACCCAATCTCCCAAGTCGTCCTGAACCTTCCGGAATCCCACATTACGCCTGACGCGACTGTGGTTACCACTCCAAAGAACGTTGGCGATTGGGTACGGGTCGTAAGAAAAAAACGCTAAAATGACGTAAAAGGAAATCATACCCCCACCAAAAGGGTCGACAAGCCGAGGTCTGATCACAGCGACAGATCAGTCATTCTCCATAGAGTCAAGGAGAGTGACAGCTTAGAACCGAAAGCTCGTTTTGAGCATGACATTGTGTTGATAAAACAACTACTCAACCAAGTTATGCCCAAAAACATCCCCGGAGTCACCTTGCTAAAGGTGTATAGACTAGGAAATCTAGCGCATATTAAACCAAATCAGTCTAGACTACTCAAAGTCGTTTTCAAATCCTCAAACGAACGCGACTTAATCTTAGAAAATGGACACAAATTAAAGGGTTCAGGAGTTTTTCTCCGTAAGGACTTACCGTTGGCGGACCGTGTTAAAAGACGGGAAGCCGAAAAGGAACTACAGCTCAGATTAGACGCTGGCGAAAAAGACCTTAAAATTGTAAATTTTCGGGTTGTGAGGCTTCGACAGAGGATGATGCCGAAGCCACTCTGGGTGAAGCACGAGGTCACCTAAATAGGCTTCGGATCTGTTATACCAACGCCCGGAGCTTACTAAATAAGCTACCGGAACTAGGTGTACAGATTGACTCAACTAGGCCAGACATAATCGCAGTCACAGAAACATGGCTGACGCCGTCTATAGATAGTAGGGAACTTGATTTCGAGGGTTTTACATTGGTAAGGGCCGATAGAATACAAACGCGTAAAGGAGGGGGAGTAGCTCTATTCATTAGGAATGCTATTCCATTCACCATTATCGACAGTGTATCCCATGAGAGTGGGACGTATGAACTAGTTTGCTGCCGCCTGAAATGCAGGGGACAAGAGTTGCTACTTAGTTTGATCTATCGCAGTCCAAGCTGTTAGGCAAACGAGGTCCTGCTAAGCAGTCTCAACACTTTATCACGAAGTGATCGATGTCTAATCCTAGGGGACTTTAATGCACCCATGGTGGACTGGGGAAATCTGCGGACTGAATCGTCAGCAAACTCCTTCGAACAGGAACTAGTTGATGCGGTAATCACATGTGCCCTAGTGCAACACGTGAAGGAAGCAACTAGGTACGACCCGGGTTCTGCATCATCCTTAATAGATCTTATATTGACTCATTATGAGGATGATGTTGCAAACCTGG